GGTAAATGCTGCTTCTGGATTTGCAGCCTCATGTTTCTCCTAAACATATTTTTTTTATATATGTGACTTGGGGTTCATATTATTTTTAAAAAAGTGTGAAGAAAATTCTACTTTTTGCAATTTTAATTTTTGAATGCAAGTGGCAGAGGGTAAAGGTTAGTCATGTCCAGGTGTCTCTAGATGAGGTAACATTCATGTTAGTCCCTCATGAATGTGATTAGGAAAATCCTGGCTATTTCACAAAAGCCCATTATAATCCTTTAAGGGATGGATAGCTTCTGTTGCTGTGGTCATCCTCAGCAAGGCTCTGTAGCAGATGTTAAGTTTTTGTTCATTTATGAAACATCTACTGTTGATGCACTTAGAAAAACTAAGTGCTCGGCTGACCGGACCACTGCCTGAGCTAATATAACACAGTTGTGCTCCTAAAGAAGTGGCAAGTTCAGAGGATGTAACATAAGCTGTGAGTTTCCTTTACTGAATGTTGAGTCCGTTAACATTGCCATAGCCTGGTCCTGCTAAAAATAATTGCCTGGGTTTGAGCTGGCAAGGCCTAAACAACTGTATGATGGTCACAGGGTAACACTGCCGGGCTGGGTTCTGCTACAGTTTTTTGGGGAGGAATGAGAGGGTCATAGTGGAAATTATGAACCTTTATTCTCCATGGCCTGATCCAGAGCCTGTGTGTAAATTTTTAATTATTACGGCTCAAAGATATTTCTAAGACTTCACAAAACTTTTGCGTGAGAAGTGTGAGTACAGTGTCTTTTTGGGTGGGTGCACTTTAATTATGTGGAAGGGTGGGGAAGGCTGTGGTCTTCTTCCAGCCTTATTTCTTGAGTCACTTGGGAGAGCGCAAAAGGGTTTGAGTAACATGTCAGCCAGTGCTGTAGCCCAGGCTGTAATTTAGAAAACACCAACCCATATTTGACACTGATAACTTAGGTTTCTGAAAAGTATTAGGAAGATGAAAAGGCCGTGGTTTTAGTACTGTCCTTGATCACTGCTTCAAAATTGTGGTAGTTTTGAGAAATTCTGCAGGCAGAAAATGTTCAGTTTGCTTAGAGGTAAGGATCTAAGTACAGCTTGGTATTTGCGATCAGTTGCCATTGCTACCTGGGTTGAGGGTTAGTTAAAATGTTTGATTTAGCCCTGGTTATTTGCTTTTGCTGCTGCTTTCTGAATGTTTTTCTGCACCAATAGCTCTCTAGGGACTCTTACAACAGAGGGGATTTATCTGCTATTTTCTGCAGATGCTTGTTTGCTTCTGTTTGTCAAATGTTCATCAGATGACTAAGAAGAGAGGGAATGGAGAGTTTATGTTCTTCACTTTTATTGATTAGAGTGAGAATATCGTAACGTACGTGTATTTAAGGTAATTGTAAAGTGTTGTCTTCACATACGTTCATGTTGTCTTACTGCTGTATTTGCAGCAATATTTTCTGCATGCTCTAGTCAGTAGGAGATAAGCCAGATGCAACACACTGTGTGACAGAACATATTTACACAAATAATAGCCTTTTCAAATAAATTCTCCATTAGTTTTGAGCACTATAGCAATGGAGCAACTTCCCAGAAAAAGTTTTGCCTGTGATGTGAATTCTAATCACATGAGGAGAGGCATTAGAAATTAAAGAAACACTGAGTGAAGAGTCAGTGTATCAGCACTATCCCTCTACTTTCTTTTGGTTTTGAGATGTGTGTGAAGATAGTTTTTCTCGAGTCAGTTGTTCCTTTTTCAGTTTGCCACAACGCACATTTGTTTTTACATGGACATGCTGACATTTCAAATTTTGTTACCAACCCTAGAAAATGCACCAGAAATCAGGAATGTTGCCTTCCACTACTCTCTGCAGATTGATTTGGCTCTTATGCTTCAGCATTTGCAGCTTGGTCTTGCTTTATATGCTAGACAAGGTTTATGCCAGCCTAATTGGTTGCTGCCATTCCTGAATTTCACAGCTGCTGTATTCAGCTGTGTACTAGAAAAATATAATGGAATACTGTTTGAGGAGAGCAAGAGGCAATTGTAAAGATGTAAATGTGCTTTCTGGCAGTTCAATAACATGTAAACTTTTAGTAACACAGAGAATTTTTAGGAACAGATTGTATGGGTACATTGCCAGTTTAACCATTATAGTATATGTTTTCTATTTAAGCCGAGAATATTTGGAAGATGGACATAACTTTTATTTTTGCTCGTGGGTTTTTTTTATTCAGTCCTGACTTTCTTGGCCAGGGAGCAGATGAAGTCTGGCACAGAGATGGAAGATTTATTGTGATTCTTTTGTTACGGCATGCTGGCTTGCTGTGTTTGTGAGAGGGTTCAGTATTTTCTATTAATTCATAAGCCTGCTTTGATCTCCTTTCACTTCTTATGGCAAAGATTAAACCTTTCAAAATCATTATTCATTCTCTGCCAAAAGCAACAGAGCACAGGAGCAAGTAATAGGACTTATGGTGACTCTGAAACTAAGACAGGTTTCAGCTGTGAATAGTGCTTTTCTTCAAAATTTGTGAAATCTGGTAACATGCTAAAGATTATTATAATATTGTACAGAGTATGTTTCTCTAAACTTACATTTTTCATATATCAGTTTTCTCTTGATTCTGGATTGACAGCTGGGCCAAGCCTTAAAACAGTAGCAAAAGATTACACCAATGTAAGCTTGAGGAGTTGTCCAGTTCCCGCAGTGATGAGAAGTTTTTGTGTCCTTGCGGTCCCAGCGTGCTGTTTGTAGGAGTGGGCAGGAGTGGCACAGCTGCAGGAAGACAGTGGCTTCTGTTGCTACTTTACCAACAGACCAGGTAGCTAATTGAAACAGAGGGTTCTTGCACAAAATTAAGTCCCTAGAGGTGGTTAAATGCAGCAAAAAAATAATGGAGAGGTTTATTGAGGACCTTGCATAAAGAAAACTTGCACAAAAATGCTTGTCCAAGGAAATGGGGTGAGGGAGCATCATGCTCGGTGAGCCTGCTTCAGCCCCACCACCAGCAGAACTCGGGCAGGGTCCCGAGGGCAGGATGTGTGCCTGCACAACGTCCTTTGGGTGAGGGGAAAGGGAGGAGCGCCCGTGCATGGAGGGGAGGGCATGGCGGTGATCCCTGCCCGCACATCTCCTGCCGGCAGCACCTCGGTGGGGAATCCAGACCAGACCATCCCTGCGTGCAGCCAGGGCGCCCGGGAGAAAGGTGCTCAGGAAGCACAAATGGAAGGGTTTGTTCAGACAAAACACGGGTCAGGGAAATAAAAACTAGCAAATGCTAGAGGAAAGAAACCAAGTGAAGCAAAGGGGGAGGCTTGCTTTTTTGGGTGAAAAAACTACTTAACCTTCTTTAGTGGCGGAGTGAGTTTTATGCTTTGGGCAAGGACAAGTGCAGAGGTTAGAAGTGTGTATCTAATGTACCTTGCTGGTGAGGCAAGCACCGCAAATGTGAAAGCAGTGCTGCCCAGGGGTGCCAGCTGCTCTGCAAGTCCCCTGAAAGCTACGCCTTGCCTGAGTTTCAGTTAGTCTCCTCCTCTGCACCATATAGTAGAGTACACAGATTTGCTGTTACCTTCCATGATGCTTCCCCATAGCCTCTCTTTTTGCTTAATTTTAACTAGGTGTGAATGTTTATGCAGCCTTTGCAATAAAAGAAATAGTAACAGTATACATTTGATACTTGCACTGTTAAGTGAGATAATTTGGGATATCAGTCAGGTTTTTCTTCCTTTCTATCCCTCAGCAGGCCCTAAGAGGCTTAGACTGTATAAAAACATTAACTCTGGAAAACTGTCAAATTACGACTGAAGTGGCTAAAACAGAAGTTTGAAACAATCGGTAGAGGAGAAAACTGGAGTGGATTTGGGGGGTTGGGAGCTTTAGGAAAGGAGAAGAGAAGGTGCAAGCTGGAGGAGACCCAGACCAGAGCAGATGTGTAGGGACCATGCCGTCTTTCGCCCCTAAGCAGGTGCCCGGCAGCAGCAGCGTATGCACAGACTGCTTCAGGACAGTCGCTTGTGCTTTGGGAGCTGCACGTGGCTCTTGGGCACCTGGGGGGTGGCTCGGGGCGGGTGAAGTGAGGGATTGCTTGTTCGTGCTATGGCTTGTTAAAAGCGGGTGTTAGAGGAGCAGTCGCATTGGACTCATGTTCTCTAGAAATCCCAATTCTTGGTACTCTTAGGGCAAAGCACAAATGTGAAATCAATGTGTCACCTGGGTCTTGATCCTTTTTTGTCAGTGTATGGCTGCTCTGTTCTTCCAATTGCTCCTCGCTAACGTGTAGGATATTGGACATAAAAAAAATTGCAGTACACTACATATTTAAGAAGAAATATCCTTATTCCTACTGAAAGTTTACTGGTTTTATTGTACTTTATGGGGGCCTGCTGGCTTTGGGTCTTTCACTGGAGAAGTCGAAGCAACGGCACCTTAACTCCAGCTCAGCAGTCTGTGTTAACAGTTTTTTAAAAAATGATGATTTGTATTATTGTTGCAGGCAATCTAATTTTAGTTGAATTACCAACTGATTGGATGCCCATAAGAAATGGATGTCAGAATACAATTTCAGGGGGCTTCACTCCTGTGTTGGGACATGTAATGTTGTATCAGCCTAGAAGGGGGACAGACAAGCCTTTGTGGAGTGCAACTCAGGAGACTTTACCGCCCGTGGGAGACTCGTGGTATTGGAGTTTTCTTCTCTCAGGAAAGAGAGTCTCCGTGGTGCGGCTTTCACATGGTATTTTGTTTACTTACCACTCAGTTTTCTGTTCATTGAGTTTTTCGCTTGTACGCTGACTGTCTCGTTAGAGCCTCTGCTGGTGGATCAGGTCTGAGCCACTTCACAGGCTCAGATTCCTGTGTGGCCAGGAATCATCTTCTATTTATCACCTTATTTTTTTTTAACCCTCTTCTTCCTGCCTCTCACTGCGTGTCTCAGTGCAGGGACGAAAATAACTTCTGGAAATTTTTTCCACCAGTTAATAAATGATCATTTGTGTTTGCTTTCTAGGCCGAATTCACCAAGCTATGGTAACATCCCTAAATGAAGATAATGAAAGCGTAACAGTTGAATGGATTGAAAATGGAGATACTAAAGGCAAAGAGGTAAACTCAATTATTTTAGAACTTTTCTCTTTTAAAGATGTGTAATCTGCATGAATATTACTTTGGAATTTGCACTGGAAACAAAGAGAAAATATAAATCTTAATTTACTTGATGATTCTTTGATTACCGACTGTTTTGCATGGGAGCTGTTGGGCAGATGCTGGTTTCTGTTGTATTAAATTTGACTTCCTGAGCTCTGTGTCATGGCTTTTAAATAGTTCTTTTCATCTGTTGATTTTGAACCAGATTACAAAGGCTGACCTTGTTGTCTTCTTTTTACAAGTAGAAAAATCAAATTTTTGAGGGGGAGAATGACTTACAGTTCAGTCAGGAACCTAGTGGGAGAACTAGATTAGAAATCTTTTTGTGTTTGTATCATCGAGGAATTGAACTGCTAGTTTGTTTGCTTATTTATTTATTTTTGGCAATAATTTTCCAGCCTTGCTTTCCTTGAGAAACTGTGTCTTTGTGTGTAACGTTTCTCTATCCCTCTTCCTTTAAATTTTGGACTATTTTAGCCAGTTTCAGCTGAGATTTGGAGAAGCATGTCAGAAATAATTACACTTCACTGGTTTTGTGAAAACACAGGAAGAGGAAAAAAAAAAATTGTGAGAATGTCCTGGTGATCTCATCAGCTGAGCTCATCCGTATGAACACACAGAATCCATACAGTAGTGAGGTCTTTGAAAGGTTCAGCCAGGGGAAATGGCAGTCTATAGAGACCAAAGCTGTTTAAGATTTTTGGGAAACCTAGTTTCAATAGATCTGAAGCCAGCTATTTTTAGGATCCTGCCCCTTGCGCCCTTACATTTTATGGCATTTTGAACGAGGAACACTTACAAGAAAAAAACCAGCATGGTAAATTTAACATGGTTTCAACTGCATTTTTATTTTTTGGGTGGTTGTAATTAATCTGTTTCTTTTGCACTGTCTGAGAAATTTCAAATAACTGAGATCTCTTTCTTTTTATGTTACAAAATGTCTTTCATATTCTGCAGTAATTGTCAAATTACCACAGTAATACTGGGTGCTTCTGTTTTTATTTAATCACTTTACAAGATTATGAGTATATATTGGTCATTTTTAGTTCATCCCTTCTCTGAAGGGTGTGTTTTCAACTAATAAGAAGACCAAAGCTTGGGATGTTTTTAATGAACATAAAGTAAGATAATTCAGGTTATAGAATTAACAAATTGTGGGCTAAAAAACACTAAATATATTTACTGTTTATTCTCAAACGTAACAGGAGAAATGGAGAGAACAATGAATATTGTCCTAAGACTCATAAATGCGTTTTATATTCTTTTACACAGATTGACTTGGAGAGCATATTTTCACTTAATCCAGATCTTGCTCCTGATGAAGATATTGAACCTAGTCCAGAGACACCACCACCACCTACTCCATCAGCCAAAGTAAACAAAATCGTGAAGGTTGGTAATACCTATGCAGCATGTTCATGTTAAACTTACAGTACTCCTATACATGTTGTTATGCTTGAATTTTAAACTTCAACTTTTGTGTCTGTGGAGCTACTTGATAACTTTGTTCCTTTCTTTTTTCCTGTGGTGAATAGGGGTTTCTAAAGATTTTCTAAGAACAGATTTGGCAGAGAGGGAGTTGGGGACTAATATCTATAACTAAATATATCTCAAGGAAAAATACAGAAAAGGTTTTGGACGTTGTTTTGAAACACTACGTATAGTTCAAGCAGTCTTCACCGTAGACTCTTCAGAGAGGGGTTTGGCAGCAGTCACCTCTCTGTAGTGTTGACTTCGGGTTATTTTCATTCACTGGAAAGAAGCAGAGGTGGGGCTGCAGTTTACGTTTTCAATAATAAGGTGGTTGCATAACAGAGATTTCTTTCTTTATAGAGTCGACGAACTGTGGCACCTATTAAGAATGACACACCTGCCAGAGATAACAGAGGTAAATGTTATCTCCTTCCTTTTCAAGGAAGTAAAAAATATGGGAACATTTTAACCTCCTGCTCATCTAACATTCTTTAATAGTTCTGCATTTCTAATTCGGTATGTATGCATGTGGCATGTAAAAGGCATGGTACATCATTCCTCGAATTATTCCTATGTATATTCAGGAATTCATACTGTACGAATAGTATTTATATGCAAGTTTAAGCAATACAGCATTAGGAAAGTTAAGCTGAATGAACTGAAGGTGCAAAAATTTGAAGTTAATTAATTGTGCTACATTAAATCATGTGTGGACTTTTCCAAGCTAAAGCATCCTCAATTTGCTCCAGCTTAATTGAGTGTTTCAATATACACTAAGTAGTGCACTTAAAATTCTTACGCTTTCAATTTTTTAGCTTGTTTTTGTAACAGTCTGTGTGTAAACATTCGTTCAAAGAGTACTTAAGCCCTACGAGTTATTTCTCACTCTATAGTTAATAGCGAAAAATCTACAAAAAATGCTGAAATACCACAGGGGGATAGGTGAAAATTATGTATTGGATGAATACAGATGTAATGCATCTATAACATGAGAAAGAATAGTTACTGTTTATTGTTTTCATTTTCTCTCGTGTTAAACTTAACTAACTTGTACTGATGATGGTGATGATTCTTCTTCCAAACATTAATCTGCTGTCATTAATTCAGACTAGATTCCAGTCCATCTGTTTAAACTTGAAAAGCAAGTGGGCTTGCATATCTTTGTAAGTGTTCAGACTCTTCTGGTGGACGATTGGGATACTTTCTCCCTTCTGCCATTTGCCTCTGGAGGTGTTAAACAAATTGGAAATCTCATGAGGAGGGGATAATTTTTTCCAAACTATTATGGTTTAAATTGGAGACATCTTATTGATGGGCTCTCCTCACATCCATAGATGTTGTCGTTTGTAGTAAATGGTCTGTTTGGTATGGAATAACCCTGTAACTTGTATTTTAATAGGTCCTATGCATCTTACTATTCACAGTCGGCCTAAGTATTTGTTTTTTGTTGCCTTGTAATTAAGCTTTTTTCAGCACACTGTCTTGTTTAGTGTAGCCAATTTATGCTATAAACTAGATCTCTTACCGTATTTGGAATCATGTGGGCATTTGTATTGTCTATCCCGTTCGATATCTGTTTCCGTAGTTGTCTCCATGTTGCACAGAGAGCTGGCCTTCGTTTGGAATGTCATCTCTAGGCTGCTAATCAAAGCTGATACCTTAACTTTCATACTCTTCTGGCAGATTCCGTTAGGAACGTGTGCAGGAAATGGGCCCGCTGAAGCAGAGCTGCTTGAAGCAACTCTCTCAAAAACAATTTAAAACATTCAGCTCTACCAAAGAGGCTTGCATGCTCACCACTCCCACTGCATTCACTGGAAGCAGACATCACTGCATCTTCAGAAATTGGCATCCGTAGCACATACAGAAATAACGCACAAGTTTAGACGTATTGATTGTATCTGTATCACTTTCAGTAAAGTGTCAAAAAGGTTTGTTTCTTACATTCACAGACTGAGCTGCACTTTACTGCCTTTCATTTGTATCCCTCTGCTCCTCCAGAGATCATAGGCTCAATGGGGAGGGACCATTTTGTAATATCTAGAGAATGTGAAACAGCGGGGCTTATTTTCTTACTTGGTTTTTGGGTATAATCACAATATAAATAAAATTTCAGCACTTTAAGCTTCAGGACAGCGTATCTCCAAGTACACACTTCATTCTATGCACATAACAAGTTGTACTGATTCTGTAGTAGAGTAAAAATATGCACATGCAGCATCAGTATTTAATAATTATGTTGTGTTGGTGTATAACACTAGGAAGAAAAGGCTGCATACCAAATGTCTTTATTAATAGGCTTTCTACGTGTATGGCTCCCCCTCACCCCCAATCGGTTGTTATGTCTGGAAAGGGGCCTTGTTTTATCTCGTCATAACAAAGCATTTGAGAATCGGGTAGAAATGTTACTCTTCCATGTCCAGATGAGCTTTGTGCATTTCCTTTGCAGTGGTTGGTTCTGCACGTGCGCGACCTACTCAGCTTCCTGAGCAGTCTTCCTCCTCTCAACAGAATGGTAGTGTTTCAGATATATCTCCAGTTCAAGCTGCAAAAAAGGAATTTGGACCCCCTTGTATGTAAACGGTGTATAAAGGATTCATTCGTTCTGGGCGTTACATGTACATTCTCTTGGATTATGTTGTTGTCCATAAATGACAAATGGTCTACATGCGCAGTTGTCTGTAGGCTTCCTCGAGAAGCTTTTTCAGAGAGCTGTGGCTGAACAAATGTTCACTTCTGTCATAGTTGTGCTAGTATTTGGAATTTGTTTTTCCTTTATCTTTTTTTAACCATGGCGGTGTTGCTTTTTTTTTTAAATTTGCCTGGGCTTCCTTTTAATTCAAACCAAGAGATCACATGTATCTGTCCAAATATTTTTTGAGGGTCATTGTCCTTATATTTTTGATCATGTAATTATTGTCCCATTCCCATGATTTTTTTCTAATTCATTCATTTTATACATTTTAAAAATTAAATTGCTGTAATTATTCTGTACTAATACTGATTTGCTTGAAAAGATAGTTGATATAAATAAATGCATTCTAATTATTGATAAATTAATATAATTGAAATGTTACAGTGTAAATACTAAATTAATGGAACACACTGAAAATATTCTAAAATTATATCATTTTCTTTAAGCACGTAGAAAATCTAATTGTGTAAAAGAGGTCGAAAAATTGCAAGAGAAACGTGAAAAAAGAAGGTTACAGCAGCAGGAACTTAGAGAAAAAAGAGCTCAGGTTAGTATTTTTAGCTCGGATGGAAAACGTATGTCAGCAAGAGAAGTAGTTTGCAAAATCATTGTGCTTTTTTCTGTCTTTAATAATTTTTATGAACTGTAATAATCTTGAAGTTAAATGTTTTCGTCCTGTGTACAAGTTTGATAAATATTTTGGTGCTTGGTTGCATTGCTCTGATAACTATTACTTTAGACAGTTTTCCCCCTCTTTTTCTTCCTACAGAAATAAGTGCTTATAATTGCTTATCTTGCTGTGTGTTCTTTAAAGATCAAGTTCTGATAATAGCTATTTCTTAGGGAAAACATATTGTTGAAAATAATCAAACCTTTGGCTTTTAGATAGGGCTGTTATTCTACAGGAGGTCTTACAACATTGTGATAAATTTTTTTTTTATGATCCTTGATGCTTTGTGGGAGATGTATTTGAGGCTGAAGTTTGAACAGTGACTTTTTTTTTTCTTTAAACCTGTCTATGCATTTATAATTTAGCTTTGCATCATGCAAGCCATTTGGCAGCAAGTTGTTAGAAACTTGTGTGAAAGAAATGAAGTTGCTAATCCTGTGAGAAGAATCTTTTAATATTAAGTGACTTTCTGTCACAGTGGTGTAAAAGCTTTGCAAAACTAGTAGAGTAATCTTGTTGGCAGCCCTGTGCGTATGTTAGTCTCTCTAAAGAGATACTACCAATCCGCTACTGACATGAGAAGTACCACCACCAAGTAAATAATTCAGGCAATTTACTTCATGGTTTAATGATGTTCCTAAGTTGACCTAAAATAACCTATGTTGAATTCATGTTCTCTAATTTCCATCCATTTACACAAATGCAAAACATTACTATGTTTTTATGTGTAAGAAACAAATATTTTTTGCTTTACATATTAAAATTCTTTGACGTGGTACTACACTTAAAATTTTCTTTTTGTTGCTTTTGTGAAGACTCCGTTTGCATCTGAGTCTTAAACTTCTGTATCATAGAATCATAGAATGGTTTGGGTTGGAATGGACCTTTACAGGTCGTCTAGTCCAGCCCCCCCTGCAATGAGCAGGGACATCTTCAACTACATCAGGTTGCTCAGAGCCCCGTCCAACCTGACCTGGAATGTTTCCAGGGATGGGGCATCCACCACCTCTCTGGGCAACCTGTGCCAGTGCTTCACCACCTTCAGCGTAAAAAATTTCTTCCTCCTTTCTTTCTTCTGCATGAGGAAGTTCTGTTTGTCTTGGTGACTTGTATGTATCTGTGCTTTGTGTTGCTTTGTGTGTTCTGTTGTTGTTGTGAAATGCAGCAATGATTAGCCAAGCACTGTCTTCTAGTGGGCAAGACCTTTAAATGGGGTTTGAAGAATATTAGGCAAACACTTCTTCCGTAATAAGCAATACCTCATTCTGAATGTTAGAAGGAAACATTTCAGCAGGAAAACATTTTGTATGGACTTACTGTCAGCAGTTTTTAGTTCACTGTAGTCAGGCTGAACAACATCAAGGTACAGTCAACTTCTGACTACCAGGGTGCAGTTTTATCTGAGGTGAGGATCGGCTGTGTCACATGTGCGGAGACATGAGTGGGCTCCATTTCAGCTTGTTAACCCCAATGCAGTGCTTTCTAAGAGTGCCTACAGTGTTTCCGCAACCAGCTGTGATCCAGAAGGAGTTTTATATCATTTGTGGGGAGCTGTGCAAAGGTTAATAAGGTCTGAGCACCAGCGCTGGCTATGCTTGGCATCAGCAGCATGTCCTGAAATGGTGTAAAAACTGACAGTCGCGGGGAGAAGTGATGGGAAGGACATTTGAGCAATTTAGCAGAGAACCAACTCGGCTCACAGTAGGCTCAGGCTTACCAAGGCTTGGAGGGGCTCTGTGCATGGTCTCTTACGTGTCCATTCGCTTTGGTACTGATGCTCCATGTTTAGGGACAGGAGGGCTTCTGAGCCTGGATTTAGCCCACTGTGTATGCTTGGGATTACTTCTGCTTTTTGGGGGCATCTAGGAGTGTTAGAAGAGTTTCCAGTGCATCCAAGTAGCTGTAGGGGTTAACATAGGGCCAGTGGTAGGATCAGCCTCCTTTAACCAACTCGGATCCAGCAGGGCTATGTTTAGAGCAGCTGGGGTGCCTGCACTGTCGTCTGCGGGGTGTTTTGTACCTCTGTAATGCAGTGTATCCATTCGTCTGTTGGACCGCCTTATCTCAGATTAAGAAGTGTTGATTATATGTGCTGTCTGGTGTTATGCGGCCGCTCGGAGATCTTTCTTATTGTGAAGATTCTGGCAAAGGCGGGAGCCATTTCTGTTTCTTGAGTAGACTGTTAATGAGTCCTCAACTAAAAAGTATTCTCTATTACATGCTGACCAAAACCATGAAATAGAAGGCATATAAATGCTTTGCTTTACGATCAGTAAATTAGCTACATCAGAATGGAAAAAGGCATTAAACTTTCATTTGAGACATTTCTAGTGTTTTGGAGAAAAAATAAGATTTCAGTTAATGTGTATTTTTCTTATAAATAAATATAGAGATACTGAAATTAGTCCATTTCAGGAAAAAAGTATATTAGAAATTCTGTTGCTTACTTCCCTAGGATGTTGATGCTACAAACCCAAATTATGAAATTATGTGTATGATAAGAGATTTCAGGGGAAGTTTAGATTATAGACCGCTGACAACTGCAGATCCTGTAAGTACCCCAGCAACATGGAAGCTCTCTATTCTTCTGTATTTTTGCTATGTGTTTTCAATTTTTTCAATGTTACTTCCATCTGTAAACAAGAAAAATAAGTAGTTTAATATATATTAGTATTCTTTATAACATGGATTTTTTTTTTTTTCAGTAATTTGATGATATTGAAATTAGTAGTTGTTGAAAGCCCTAGGTTACTAAATTATTGTTAATTATGTTATGCCATTTAAATACCTTTTGACTGTAAAATAATACCAGTATGTACTAAGTAGTCACTCAGCCTCTGTATTGTAAATTTTCCTGGGATGCTAGGGGATGTGCACACAAAACCGTTAAGCTTCTCTGAAAAACCCTATTGGGTATAAAGATTAATACTTGATCTTTGAAGGTGATGAGGGCCTTTGATTTGCAGAGAAGTCAGAGGAGCAGAATCCTTAAATGATGGAGGTTATCAGATCTCTGTGGAAATCGGGGATTGTGATGATTTCTGTCAACAGTGTTATCTACCCTGTTAGAGCTGGATTTACTTGCAGTGTTCCAAGATGCACCTGGTACTGTACAGGATTAGATCGCTGTTTGCAGGGAGTTTTGTTAATGTGTGGTTCTCCCTTTTGGGTTCTTGGCTACTGTGTAGACATGAGGGGCTTTTTCATGTTCAGATGACTCGCTGTCTTGGAAATTTCTCTTTGTTTAAATGGTTAATTAATTCAAGAATAGAAGTAAAATAAAGTAAAACATTGTATAACTGGAATTGGCGTATAGTTCACTGAAAGATTGTTTTCCTTTGCAGATTGATGAGCACAGGATATGTGTTTGTGTACGAAAACGACCACTCAATAAAAAAGGTATGACCATTTAAGATTTTGCTGAATTTTTTTCTCTGAAAGGCTGCTTCTATTAGGAATATTATTTGTATTAAAGAGATCTAGAAATAATGATCAAAGATGGAACTCTGTTATATACTAGACAATATGATGTGACAGACCCAGAAAATTCATAGACTTGTCATAACCTGGATAAAGATGAGGACAAAAGTAGTTTAACTGTCACCATTTCATGGATTGGGAGCTGAGAGGTGCAGAGAGACTGCAAACTTTTTTCCCAGGGTCATCTAGGATGTATTTAGTTGATCTGGGAATTAATTCTACTGTAATTTCTTCAGTATTCTTATATTGTGTTAGGATCACCATTCTTTTAAACTATTCTTTAAGTGATCTCCTGAGCAGAGAGCTACCCAATTCCTACGCATTTTTTGTACATGTATTTTTATACTTTCAAGTGGTCTTGAATCAGACATCAAGGCAGCAATTCAGGTGCTTAAACACTTGTATCTTATGACATGCTAAGTGACCAAGCGTGTCCAAGACGTCCTTGCGGGGCTAGTGGATTACAGACAAACCGGAGACTTGTATCCCCTGGAGCTGCTGCGCAGGACTGGGCAAGATACCCTAGGGCATATGAAATGCCACTAAAAAACTATTAGGTACTGGAATGACTCCCTAGCGACTTTTTAATATATGATTAGTATTACAACTTTTCTTCTTACTGCCTGCTCACCAGACTGGAGTCTGTATTGCAAAAAAAAAGTTCAGGTTTTCAACTCCAGTTAAATCCCAATCTTCCTATGAAGTTCTTTATGTTCAGTGGGAAATTAAGAACACAAATGCTTCTGGATTGCAGCCTCTCTGAATCCAGCGCTTAAGTAAGCTGACTTCCATTTTGAAAGATGTTTCTTTCCTTCTCTTTCTGTTATATTTTGTTTAGCTGAAGGACTCGAAGAACATCGCTCTGACTCTGAAACAATACGGGATGCATTTATTTTTTTTGTACTATCAGAACTACACATTGAGGATTATCTGGAGCGTATCCAGAGGAAAATGGGAGAACTGTATGGGAAAGGGAAAACATATGTTGATACCAGTATATAGTTAGTTTTTGTCTTATTTTCTCCCTCCACGTTGCTGCTTCCCCTACTTAATTTTTTTCTTCATTTTTACTTCTACTGTTTTCTTATTCCCTGTATTTTTTCTTTTGTTGATCTGAAAGGAATGCAGAATCTCAAAAATTCGTTAATTGAAACTATTTTGCACAACCTATTTAATAAGGGCATTCAACATACAAGTCTGGTAGCAGTTGAATTTCTGTTTCAGCATTGGAGGTTATAATTAATAAAATATGACTTAGAAATTTGATACATTTGGGGGAAACGTCACCTTCTACCTGCGCTGGAGGTGGACAAAGTGAAATTACAGTAAATGAGAGCAAGTTCTCAGGGGGCATGAGTTGGGATTCAGAAGTAGGATTTGATTTTGTGAAAGTTACATATCTTAGGTTTTAGTGGTTTGGAGCTATTAAAAAAATAGTTGAGGTGTTTGTAGGAAGATGAGTGTGTAAGTAAAAATGAAGTTGGCACTAAAGTACTCTTGCATTTTTAAGAATAAGATATAGTAAAAAGGTATTAATGAAATAATCTATGGGATGACCCATAGAGATAATCTAGTACCCACATGATACAATCTTCTGAAAACACACACTTCATAATAAACAGTATTTCTCATGCCACTTTTTAAAATTGAAGAGTATAAAAGAATGAAAGATACTAGTGTGTAAACCCCAAAGAGAAAAAATAAAAATAGTTTGTTTTGTCAGTCTCACAAACACAGAATTATCACCAAAATCTTTGGGTGTTCTCAGCACCAATCATTCTGTGGATTGATTTTGCAGGAAGTAGGTGTTCAGACTGACATTTTAAGATTTTATTTCAGTCACATATATTTACAATTGAGAAATGTATGGTGGGTTTCAGAGACACTATTCCGAATTTTCATCAGCAGGGAATACAGGTCGTCATAACAAATAGCTGGGAGCAGGTAAATGTCTTATTACAAAAAATCATTTAAGAAGAATCAGCTTTTGACTGCTTAAACTAAAAAGCTTCTGCTGCGAAGAATTGACCTTCATATATGTCTTTTCACCACTGTTCCTTATTTCTTCTCTGTGATTACTGCAGAATAATTGCATTTTATTTTATTGCAGTGCAGTTGAAAAATTGGTTATATAGTGACTTGAATGCATATTTCTGTTGGTGTGTAATGTCATGCAGTGGTAACCATTGTACTGTTTGATCAGTATGTTAACTGATGAAAAGATTTCTGTTTGATTGTATAAAGCCACATCAAATTCTTGAACTGCATGCCTTAAGAAATTTTACATAGAAATGCAAGTAGGACACATTAGGATCCTGACTGTACACACAAAGGATCTTTATTTTTGTCCATATCATGGATCACTGGGTTCTCTGTTTTGCTGACTCGTATCTCATACAACAATTAGCAATAAATTGTAGTGCTGTGTAGTAATTATAACCTGAGAGTACACTACTGAAATTGCATCTAGATGGCTTTTGTTCATTCCCAGTGATAGGAAGGATCATTAGCATTTTCAGCTTTTTCTGTTTACCAGCTTTTTCTGTTTACAAGATAATTTTTATAAAGGATTTTACTTAAGAGAAATTCTATATTAAAGATATATACTTTACGTTCCGAGAGGAATACACAAATGAAAATGTCTGTGTAGAATGAAAGCAAAATTCTTCTTTTTGAAAGCTGTGAACATATGACTATAACGTTAAGGATTTAGGGAAAATAAAAAGACAAAATTTTATAATAAAGCAGATTATCATAAGGATATTAATTTCTTTGTGTTTTTGACAGCCCAAGCAGTATAGGACTTCAGTGTCCAGTTTCTCCAGTAGAGAAGTTATGTATAAAAACTCAAAGAATATGGCAGTAATCTGTAAAACAGTATAGAAGCCCTGAGGAAAAAGAACTCAAGTCCATGGAAAGTGTTGTTATAGAATACGCACCAAGCTACGATGATAGTGCTATGATTAATGATGTTAGTTTTTCTAATCAACTTTGTACAACCTCTCTTTTAATTTCTAGCAATTGGTAGGGTAGGATGACTAGACTTCCAAAACGAAAACTCTCACTTAGCAGATTACTATGTAGGTATCAGAAGCCCAAATCCATTGCAGTATTGTTACTTGGAGGAGCTGTGTTATCTGAGATGTTACAAGAGTGTAAACAATGAAAAAATGTAAAAAATAATGATGTGTTTCTAGTTAAATATATATATTTCACTTATTTTATAGAAACTTTAATGAAAGACCTTGATGTAATAACAATTCCTAGTAAAGATGTTGTGATGGTACATGAACCAAAACAAAAGGTGGATTTAACAAGGTACCTAGAAAACCAAACTTTTCGATTTGATTATGCCTTTGATGACACGGCTCCTAATGAAATGGTTTACAGGTATGTGTATATGCTTTTCTTTTTGTGAATCTTTTTTCTCGTGTATCTCGCATGTCAATAACTGTGGACTTTACTCCTATTCTCTGTGTTACTAGATATGTATATTGCTACCTCCATTCTTTTGCCTGTTTACTTTTGTTTTAACTCTTTATCCGGAATTCTTCGCCTGCAATATGATGTCCACCTCCTGCTCTCAGTCCTCCTCCAAGCCCTGCTGGTTTCCAGGTGCTATTGTGTATTGCCTGCCTGCTCAGCTGCTGAATTTTTGAACAACTTCATGAGCTTTCCATTTGCCTCAGGGTTATTGTATTATTAATTAGTGTGTGCAGCACCTGAGGAACCTGAGTCATGGCTTTTGGTCTTGAGGAAAGTTGGAAGAAAAGGACAGCCCCAGCTCCAAAGAGCTTGCAGTTTGAATATAAGATATTTAACAGATGGAAACAAATCAGGAGAGGGTGGGGAAAGCGTACAAAGAAAGCAAAAGAGATTATATTGCTGTATTGCTGAGCTACCTGAGCTGGCTTGGCTTCTGGAAGCAACATGGAGGTGCGTGGAGCTAAGTTATCTTGCACAAAATGCTGAATCTTTCTGATATAAAAACCAACAGCAACAAAGACACACATTCCCTTTCAGCCCCCAGGTATTTGGATCTCCATTTTCTTGTTTATTCTTCTGTTTCACTTCCACAGCTGGCCCAGAATAATGCACACCCTGCTTTTAAAAACATGTTTAGAAGTAGCTGGTTACCTTGTAAAAGTCACTAAATGGGTAGATACAGTAGCAGGCAAGGTTAGACACCACAACAAGTCATAATCTTGGTACGCAGGCTAAATCCTGTAAAGCTTTTTGCAAGGAATATTGATATTACAAAGGAATTTGATGAAGGTAATTCTCCTTATGCTTGGAAATGCTTCCTATAGCCTTAAGGAGTAGTGACAGAGAAATATTTTAATTCTCATTTTTAATCCAACAGCTAGGAAGTGAAAGTTAGCATCGTATCCTGATAGATGTCGGACACTAACATCCTGTCAGTGGGTAACAGAAAATTCATAGCAAAAGAATTATTACAAGGCCTTGAAAATTAAAACTTCTGTCTTATGCTTGATAGGAGGAGAAGGGTGGCGGAAGGAAAATCTGTATAGTCTGTTAGTTTACACTAACGAAAGACTTCTAAACAGCCAAGCTGTAGCTTTGGAGATTTCTATCTCTAATGGTTGTCTGCTGGTAGCATCTTTCCTTTCTCAATACTGAGGAGCTGCGGGAGAGCGATGTAGCTGGTGATGCGTGCCTCTTGCAATAGTTCTTCTGCTTAACAACTAGTTCTTTTAATCTCCCTCCTTCCTGTTACTTATCTTTGCGAGCATAGTGTTTAAATGTGAGGGGTGTTTTGGCATAAAATGTTGTTATATTTTTGTATTCAGTTTCCTCCGGGCAATTTTTATTAGTTACATAATTAGTGGTAATATGGGAAGATATTGAAAGATGGTTGTATTCATACTGAAATATACTTCTAGTCTGTGTAGTAGTATAGGCTTTTTCCTTCTCCCTCATATGGCACAATAATTATTATTACTTGAAAGGCAGTCTGCTTCAAGGTCTCCTGTAATAACAGAAGTAAGAGCAAGATAGGTGTCATCATCTGTTGCCAGAACTTCGGGGTCAGAGTGGGGAGAAAAATAGTGTGGCAACTTACTCCAGTTTTCTCCAGTATGCTAAAATTACTCACTGTATTTCTATACTGAAAAATGTTCTTCAGTTTGAAGGAAAAAAAGTACTACTCTTTTTTTTAAAATTATTATTTTGCTTAAGCTGTATTTTAAGTATTTTTGAATTCATGAGCCGCAACACTGAGTTGCAAGTTTTCATTAATATCAAAATACACTCACTAGTTTGAATGGATATGCCCTTTGAATTTTAAAGGAGAACCAGAGTTTACAATTCTGGAATATCACAATTGCAAATAAAGGTTCTAATAAAAGTAAAGTTGGACTGTTTTGACATGGTACCATTTGGAGTTGTATAATGCTTTATGAAAACTTTTCTAGATATGTTTGTATTTTGCCTTACTTTAAAATAGGTATAACTAAGTCCCTTTTTTATAAATCAGCAAAATAAATAATTTCAAACTCAGTTAAACAGAGATAATGGAGTGTGCTTCTTAGGTGGATAGGCTTTGTGAAATTTTGTATTTTATATATAAAAAGAACAAACACCAAAATATGGGAATATCCTCTTGAGGACGAAGGAAGTATGTGTTTAGAGGAAGCAAAAAAGAAAGACTAAGGCTCATGAGGAGCCATCTGGTATATTTTTGATGAAAATTCAAGCTTCAGTTAAACTTAGGTTTTTGCATAACCCTTGGCTGCTCAATGGCTCAGTCTTACCCATATTATTTTTGTAAGCAATCTTGTGTTTGTTCCAAAGTGGAATGAAAGGAAGTTGTAACACCTTAGTGTTTCTGTAAACAATTGTTCCTGTTTCTGTCACTTAAGGGTACTTTATGTTTAAACACCTGGAAGAAGTTTAGAAAGAGAGACTTTTGCATAGATACTGTTACCTCCATTGGTAACCCTCCATTAGGTTACCCTTTCCTTTTGGAGTTTTTCATGAAGTAATGGTGATAAAAGCAGCTGAAGTAGGAGCGATAACTTGTGTGTTTTTAAGGTAAAATTAATTCTCTAAAATAGAAAAATGATACTTTGGATAATATTTTTTGACACATCAAATAATACTTAAGGGATAACGAGATTTTTCCATTCTGAAGAGCTTGGATATGTATGTTTTCTTGAGCCTTTTCTCAGTGTATGTATGTTCTCAAAAAGTTAAGACGTGCAATGTTGTTTTGGCCACCTGTCTTCTAAATTTAATCTTGGAAGCTGATTTGTGGAGAAAAAAAACAAAACCAAAACTATAGCAGAATTTTAGTATTGTCAAAACCTAAGTATTTATCTGCTCCGCTGTCCTACTTCCATGTCTTCTAATGCTGTCTTCTTTAGGGAGCTCTAAACTCCACGTAGTAAGCTGTGCTGTGTTGCATCATTAAAACAAGAAAATTCTTTTTCTTAGGGTTTAAAGAAGGATAATATAGTTGTAACATAAATGGGAGAGACCTTGTAGCTTTTATATGGTTGTTTGGGATATTTTAATGCTTTAGAACTGGTAGTCTCTTTAGTTCAGGAATTAATGTGGAGATGTCCTTTGGCCTCTCAAAGTACAGGACCAGCTTTGTCACTTTGGGCCTTAAAATTTATAGCATCCTTGTGGTAGTAGCATCTTAAAGTAATTCAGTTTCTTAAGTACTGTTGTTTTTTGCATTTAAGGTTTACAGCTCGACCATTAGTGGAGACCATATTTGAAAGGGGAATGGCCACTTGTTTTGCATATGGGCAAACAGGCAGTGGAAAAACCCATGTAAGTATTTCTTCTACATGTCAGCAATACACTTCTTTTTATGTACAATACACTTAGATAAATTCTAATAAGTAACAAATTCATAAGTTACAGTTCTGTGATCTTTATAGTGTATTTTTGTCTTGTCTTTTTTTTTAATTTAGACTATGGGTGGTGATTTTTCAGGAAAGAACCAAGATTGTTCTAAAGGAATATATGCACTTGCAGGTGAGACTTTATTGGTCTGTTGGCTTTTTGCAAATTAGTTGAGATCAATAAATTTTATACTCCCTGTTGTACAAACATAAGTGTCTACATATTTTGCATTACAGTGGAGCTTTGGTAACATCAAAAGTAGTTCTAGATGTGTATTCTTTACACAGTAAAGTAATGTATATGTGTATATGTATTGTATCTATATGTACATATATGTACATATCTATATGTATATATAGATTACTTCAAAAAAATGTAATAAATATAATGGATGATTAATTAGGTTTATAATTTTGGCATCTTCTGCATCTTCCGATGTAATGTGGCAGTTAAAACTGCAATGTTTTAGACTTGGTTGACTGACTATTGCTTATACTTGCAAAATATGAGAGATGCTGTAAAATAGACTGTTACGCATTAATGAGTTTTCACTAAATGAAAATACATAACGAGATTTCTTTTTATTCTGGAAATGTATTCACAGCTCGAGATGTCTTTTTAATGCTAAAGAAGCCAAACTATAAGAAGTTAGAACTTCAAGTATATGCAACGTTTTTTGAGATCTACAGTGGTAAGGTAGGTACCTGATCTTTCTCTGAGGAAGGGGGAACTTCTCTTGCACAAACAAGATTTTGAGCTTGTCACATAAAAGATTTTTTTCCTTTTTGTACTGAAAGCTTTCTTTCAAATAATTCTTTAAACTTCCCTTCCAATCATGTTTTTCCATGGAATGCTTTGCATATTTTGGTACGGGATTTGAAGCAAAAGTGTGTTTTCAAGCTCCTCTTTAACTGTTCTGTTTTCCCCCCCTCCCTAAGGTTTTTGACTTGTTGAACAGGAAGACAAAATTAAGAGTGTTAGAAGATGGTAAACAGCAAGTCCAGGTGGTGGGATTACAGGAACGGGAAGTCAAATGTGTTGAAGATGTTCTTAAGCTTATTGAAATAGGCAACAGCTGCAGGTATCTCCCATAGCTTCCACCAGTTCTTCATTGTACAGTAAAGAATCGGAATAAGATTCTTTTGGGGTCTCTTCACAGTGATGGCTTTTAAATGTGCAGTGCGTTTTTTGATGATGTTGGCTGCAAGTAAGGAATCTGCCTATCTTTTGAATAAAGATATTTAGATTTTTTCTGTCTCCTAGAGAGAAATAAGAACTGATTTTTCTGCAGGATGTGAACTGCATGCATTATGTAACCAGCTTACTGACTTAAATTAACATCTTTTATAATCTGGAATACTGCCAGATTCTTCAGTTCTAAAAGGCCTTGATATATAGTGACAGAGGTTAAGCATAAAAGTTTGGGTTTTTTTAAGAATCCAGCTTCATTGTTTTTAAAATTAGCCTTGTGCATAGACTGCTGCCTGGTAAGATAAAAATACCATCAGCATTTTACATGTAAGCTCTTTGATAATCTGAAATCTTTGAAGATCTGATTATTCTTGCTTTTAAAAGGGGAGTAAAATGTTACTGATCTTCCATTTCTGTTTGAAGAGATGGAAAAAGAGGTATAATTGTACTATGTACATCCAATTATTGGGGTTGTATCTCTAGTGTCCACACAAACTTTAGACATGCTGTCAACACATGTAAGAAAATACAACTCTGCTCTGAAAAGACTAATGTTCTGAGGTTAGTGTGTTTAACATGTATGGTCCTTCGCCTGTTCATATGTCCTTCCCTTCTCTCCTTTTGTTTAAAGGACATCTGGCCAGACATCTGCAAATGCACACTCATCTCGAAGCCATGCAGTGTTTCAGATTATTCTCAGAAGGAAAGGGAAATTGCATGGTAAATTTTCTCTGATTGATTTGGCTGGCAATGAAAGAGGAGCAGATACTTCCAGTGCAGATAGGCAGACGCGACTGGAAGGCGCGGAAATTAACAAGAGCCTTTTAGCACTCAAGGTAACTGAAATGTTTCCATTGCCTTTGAGTAGGTGGAAGCCTTCTACATGTAATAGCAATGACTATTAAAACCAGTGTTTTTGCAGGCTTTGCTTGTCTACATTGTCTACTGGTGTGACAGGTAAAATAATGTATTGATTTTTCCTCTAAATGCCTGAAGGAACACTTGGTAATTACCAAGTAGAAACATTGCAGAAACATTGTGCTATCAACGTGCATGTAGTTTAAAAAAAAAACCACCTCAACAAAAAATCCCCAGTGGTTGAATTTGAAGACTTTTCTGATATATATCTAAAATGGGAGGGCAGATGAATTACTTTGGTACTCAAGGTCTGAAATACTAACTGGAAATACTCTTACTAATCTCAGTATTTATGTCTTTTTTATTAAAAAAAAAAGTTACCTTTATGACATATTTATTTACTGCTGCTAATTAATTCACTAAAGCAACACAACAGCAACATATCCAGAAAGAACTAACAAATAGATTAAAATAACCCTTGAAAATTGGAATCCATTTTTGACTACTGTTCTTTATAGCAAATTGTCTGATACAGTCACTTTACAGTTTTTTACACATTAATCCAGGACACGTCAAGAGAGCTAAGAAGTATTATTTAAATATTCATATGCCTTTTTTTTGTTTGTTTTATAATGCTCAAAAGAGGTTCAGTCTAAATAGGGAAAGTAATTTTTTGGTCTCAACTCGGAAAACAGTAGTTCTGAATGTCTCAGAACTTATCTCTGTTTTCAGTTAGTTTTGCTTAGGTTTACTACTGTCAGCACCAGCACTGCGGTTTTAAAGAATCTGAACCCAAAAATCACTGTGCTTACTTTTTCATCCCCAGTATAAAATTGGGAGAACACTTGTATCTGACTCGAAGCAGATCTCACAAAACACCGCAAAACTGTAACATGTAATATGTCATTACAAAATTGTATGGCATGTTGAAAAATTGGAAGCAGTGGTTCCAAAACTGTGGCCTGTTTTGATTTATTATCAAAGTAAACAATGCAAGCAACATTGTGTTGTTGTTATCACTTGTTTCCAAATGTAATTGAATAAAGCTGGTTTGGTTTTGGGTTGTGGGGTTTTTTTTCCAGTTTACGTGTTGATTTTGTACTGGCTAGTGCCTTCAGTGCAATACCCATACAGCATACTTAGTTCATTTTCATACAACTTGTCTTTTTAGTTATAGTGAAGGGTTCTGCTGCTGCTGTACTAGTGTGATCTAAATTACATGGGGAAGGGGAAATAAAAATAAGTGGAGGTCTTGCAGATGTCTAAATAGCAGTACAAGAAGATATGTTTCTTAATGATATGTTAGTTTTCCATTTTTCATCTATCCCCAAAAACATTACACAACTTTTTCCATTTGTATTCAAGACCCTTGAAGTTACTGTGAAGTTTGAATTAAACTAGTATGTTCTGAGGAGTGGGTTTTGGTGCTAATCCAAGATTTGCTGTTTGCATCTGCGTATCAGTCTTGTCTTAACCTGTTCAGATTTTTGGTACAGGAAGTTATTTCTGTAATGTCTCTACATGGAAGTAGTGTTGTCATTTTGTTAGCTGGTTTTCTGAGCTGTGATGAAAAGCAAAAGTAGTTAAAAACTCCATTAATTTAGAAGCTGGCAGTGTCCTCCTATAATCCTTTTACTAATAAGAGATAATCCAGTTTTAATTTTTCAGGAGTAAGCAAACTAAAAATCATTATAGTAAATTAAAATATCTTAATTAAACTTCTTGGTTGCCATATCAGTAATTCAACATACACATTCATTACTGGTTTTAGTTTGTAATGTCACTTGTTGAAAATCTGTTGCCCCTCTTCCTGTCTAATCTGCTTTTCTCCTTATGTAAGTGTAGTATTAATGTACAAATTCAAAAAATTCAAGGAATGCACTGCCTTGCTCACCTATAAGTATTGAGTCCTTTTTAGCATTTGCATGTGAAATTCACATTCAACAAGCTTCAGTCTTGCTGTTTATCTGAGCTGTGTCCATTCTATAAAATTCAGCTGGTGAGTGTTTTAAATAATCACTTCAGTTAAAGCCAACTTGCCCTTGTGTTTGTTCTGTTCTGTATCATGGCAGTTTTATTCTGAGCCCGTTTTTAGTTCTGTTTTATGCTGTTTGATAGTTGCAATGCTTTCTTGGATTATCATCCCACAGTTCCTAGCCTGGCTTTTGGAAGAAGCTGTTTCTAGGAAATTTCAAAAGGCCACAAGGATATGGCTGCAGCTGGAGGATTAGCTGAACTGCTGTAGAACTATCCATGTAACACAAAAGCCATTCCATCTGTTAGTGCTGCTAAAAGCAAAGCTCTAATTTGAAAAGCTTTTGAAGTATGGCTGTTTGAAGAAGTTCTGTGTGTAGATGTGTTAAAACCATACCAAGGAAGCCATGCATATGAAGAGATGCCTATACACAAAGTATTAAGGCAAAGGCAGAAACTGGAGTTAATGATCAAAATATGACGATGACAACAACAACACAGAAATTTAAATTTAAACTTTCTTTGTGTAAGAAGTAATTTATTAGCTGATGTTAGAACTCTGAGTGGGCAGAAGTGGTGTTTAGATTAGTGCGATCTTGGTTTGCGCTGTTGTACTTAGTTGCTGCTGTAACTTCTATAGTAATTTCATAGTATTTACATCTTGTACAGTATGTCTCACGGAAATCTCCAACCAATTGCAAATACTAGTTTAGCCCCATACCCTTGTGAATAAAAGAGGAGACCTTATGCCTGTTTGTTCACATAAAGAATACTTTAAAACAGGAATAGACTTACATTTTCAAGTGTCTTCCAATATTGAGTACATCAATAGAGAGCTATGCTTACTAGGTTTGTGATCTGTGGAAGCTTTCAGAAAGTTTCTTTTCTTCTGAGCTGTAAAGAAAGTTAGTGGTAGAGCCAGAATCAAAGCTACTGCTTTTAATTGATAGAGTTAAGACATGTCCCTGTCCACACTGCTTCTGCTGGCGGAAGTTGTAGATCATTCAGGTTTTTGCAGCTGATAATCAGGAATAATTGTTAGACTGGACATTTAACATCAATATTGATTTTTTGGGTTGGTTTTTTTTGTTGTTGTTGTTATATAATAATAGATGTAAATGTTTTGGATGAGATTCAGAAAGTTTTTAGGCTCCTAAGTCCTTTTTAAGTTCCTGCCTCTCTACTGAACTTAATGAGAGGTAAAAGCCTAACACTTCTTGAATCCAAGCTTTAATGGTGAATTTTAATGATATTTTAGGGGACAGCAACATAACTAAGGCATGTATTTTCTGATTTTGAATTGCATTTGTATTATATTTATTCAACCCAAAGAAAAATGCATAAACCTGTTTGTTCTTTCAGGAGTGCATTAGAGCCTTAGGCCGAAATAAACCTCATACACCCTTCAGAGCAAGTAAACTTACTCAGGTGCTAAGAGATTCATTCATAGGAGAAAACTCCCGTACCTGTATGGTAAGTTGGTTTGGTTAACTGTTCTAACAATTGCAAAGAGAAAAGAAGCTGGGAATTTAGGCTTTTATGTTTAAAATTGGTCACTTGCTACTGGCAATGTGTTGGACTTAAGTTTGTCCACTAACTGACACTATATGTGGAGTGAGACTTTCAGCAGAGACATTTCAGATAACTTGCTCCCTTCTCACTTTTTATTGGCCTTTCTTATGGCTTGTTCTAGTTTTGTAGCTATGCACCTAGCTAGAAACACTTCTAGCTTGAGAAGTTTGTTTGTTTGTTTGTTTGTTTTTAATAATGCCTTAATTATGTGAGAATATTGTTTGTTGACTCAGAATTTTGGAAAAGGTGGTGTAGGCTGGAAGTACAGTGGTGAGTTACGATTTTTAAATGACAGACAAATATAAAGTTGGTATCAAAGGCATCAGAATATGCTCTAGGCTGTTGAGGGCGGAAGTAGTTTGGATAGATGGGATGAATAGTTGTGTATTGTATAAATGTGCATTTGCATCAGTCTGAAAACCAGAATTCTGCTGTCAGATGGTGGAAAGGACAGATAAAAGCACTGATGCCCAGTCGTTTTATCTGTGCATCCTTAACATTTCTATTTACGGAAATGCAGACTCTCTGCAGTGGACACTGATTGCTAGGCTTGTTTGTGTTGGTTACTTTTGACATACTCCTTGGAATTAATTAGTCTAGAGGCCAGAGAATTCTGCAGACCACAACATGAAAACCATGGTGTTAGGGCAGCCTAGTCTTCCCTTTAGCTATTAGGTATGGTTCTAATTTGAAAATAGTGGTAAAATAGCATTTTTTATTAATCTTTTTTTCTCCTTCAGTTTTCTGATGAAAAGACAGGCTTTTTTTCTTTCCACTGAGACATAACTTCATAAATCCTATGCAGGATCAGAAAGCTAAACTGTGCATCTGTAGCTAGTGTTATCCACACTGCTGAAGAAGGTTTGGAAAGTTAGCCTGTTGGAAATTACTCTGTGTACCTAGAATAATTAACATTTGTGAATATTGCATGAAGTTCTCACCATCACTCTTACCTCCTTAAAGTGCTAACAAGCTGTCTTTGTTCTGGTGAAGCTTTTCTATTTAATTATTACTCTTATCATAGAGGAGTTGTAACATTTTTTACCATTTAAATGTGTGAAAATTCTGGTTTTAGTGTTTGTTCACATGTAATTTTTACCAAGAATTTAATCAGCAAAGTTTTTTCTTAAGATACTGATATGGGAAGAAGAACACTTGCATGGTTGTGGCTTATTCTGAATAT